TGTCTGTTGCTGCGTTGTCAGTGTTTGGTGGCCTCAACAAAGCAGGAACTGTTTCCGATATTTTTTTCGTTAGCCCAAAAAAGGAATTGATAAAATTCACAAACTCCATGTGTCCTCTTTTCCCTCCACCAGGTCATGCGTATAGTGGACAATGTGCGCCCAGACCGCCAGACAGTCATGTTTTCAGCCACCTTCCCCAGAGCCATGGAGGCACTGGCTCGCAGGATCCTGATAAAGCCTCTTGAGGTCCAGGTGGGAGGCCGCAGTGTCGTCTGCTCAGATGTGGAACAACATGTGGTAAAATATCTACATTTCATCTCTTTCTCTAAATGGAAAGTGTTTCTTTAAAAAATAAATTTTGGTTATTTGTTGTCCTTTTTTAAAATTCACACTGGTAACCCATCAGAGCTCTCACATGTCACTGACTTCCTTCTTTGTGTCTGTAGCTGGTGATTGATGAGGACAAGAAGTTCCTGAAGCTGCTGGAGATTCTGGGTCACTACCAGGAGAAGGGTTCAGTCATTATCTTCGTGGACAAACAGGAGCATGCAGACGGGCTGCTGAAAGACCTGATGAAAGCCTCGTACCCATGCATGTCACTGCATGGAGGTCAGCCACTGATTACATTTATTTGTTTTTAGATATTTTCTGATAGAAATCCAGGATTCCAAACCGAAATTAAACTGCAATATATGTGAAGGAATTAAAGAATACTCTGATCTGTTGTCGCAACAGTTGAATTAGCGACAGTTGATTTCTGATCTTGGATTACCTCGAGAAGTAAATGTCCTTTCCTTGGCTCCTCTGTAGGAATTGACCAGTACGACAGAGACAGCATCATCAATGACTTCAAGAACGGGGCTTGTCGCCTCATGGTGGCCACCTCTGTGGCAGCCAGAGGCCTGGACGTCAAGCAGCTGATCCTGGTGGTCAATTACAATTGTCCCAACCACTATGAGGACTATGTCCACAGGGCTGGGCGCACGGGCAGAGCAGGTAACAAGGTCAGTCACCTGAAAGGGGTTGTAACTTTACAAATCAGTGAGAAAAGTTGCATGAAGCTTAATCTGCTCGCAGAATCTCTAACTGGTAGTTGCATTGTGGGCAATGTAGGCACAAGGTTTTGACAATGAAGAAGAACATATGGAGTAATGATTATGTTATCTCTGCTTCTGTGGTGTTTTTAAACAGAATCAAAATCTCGACATGTTTTTTTTTGTACATCTTGCGCTCTCTCTCTCTCTCTCGCTCTCTCTCGCTCTCTCAGGGATACGCTTACACCTTCATCACACAGGACCAGGTTCGCTATGCTGGGGACATCATCAAAGCATTGGAGCTCTCAGGTTCTCCTGTCCCACCGGAGCTGGAGCAGCTCTGGGCCTCCTTCAAAGACCAACAGAAAGCGGTAAGATGAGGGAAAGAGGAATATCGTTAAACCTTTAAGAGTGTGTGTGTTTGCAACAAAGCTACATTCAATCTTAAAGCACAAACCTGAAATTTGTGACAGTCATATAAAAATCAAATATCAATGTCACCATTAAATTCACAGCATCACTTTGATATTTTTTCTATTTTCCATCTTTTTCATCCAAACAGGAGGGTAAGATCATTAAGAGCAGCAGCGGCTTCTCAGGAAAAGGCTTCAAGTTTGATGAGACGGAACATGCTCTGGCCAATGAGAGAAAGAAGCTGCAGAAAGCTGCTCTCGGCCTGCAGGACTCTGATGATGAGGACGGAGCCCTGGATGTGAGTGACCTTTTAAATTTCATTGTTTAATTCATGATTTAAAATGTTGATGTGTTTATGGAACTAATTGTCTGACTCATCTGTTTCTCTGAATCATACTGAAGATGTTATCCGTGTGCTGTCTTCCCCGTTATAAGTACATAATCATTACCGATTAACCAATAACAAGGCCAACCCCACTCAATCGTCCCCTTACTTTCCCCCCTCCTCAGATTGAGGAGCAGATAGAGAGTATGTTCAACTCCAAGAAGAGGGTGAAGGATCTCTCTGCTCCCGGGGCGGCCACCGGTCCTGCAGGAGCAGTGTCCAACACAGCAGTTGCCAGTGGAGGGGGGATGCCAGGCCTTGGACCCACGTCTGCTGGAAACATCCAGAAACTGGAGATGGCAAAGAGGCTGGCGCTCAAGATCAATGCTCAGAAAAACCTGGGAGCCGAGGCTCAGGTATGTCAAGTAGATACTACAGAAAATAACTATAATATTTCATTTCAATATAGACAATTGTACTGATAATCGTCCCATCTGTGGTCAACTCCTCATCTCTTCATCTAATGTTTCTTTTTTGTTCATTTTCTATTTTTCATTTCACGTTTCTTTCATAGTTTTTATATCATTTCATTAGTTTGTATTCATCATGTTTTTTGTCAAGATTGTTTTTCAATCAAAAATACCAAACATGCCCTTTCTTTGTACAGGACGTGATGCAACAGGCCACGAACGCCATCCTGCGGGGCGGCACCATCATGACGCCCTCTGTGTCGGCCAAGACCATCGCGGAGCAGCTGGCAGAGAAGATCAATGCCAAGCTGAACTACACGCCCGTGGAGAAGCTGGAGGAGGAGCGGCAGGCGGCTGAACAGGCAGAGACCGTCAAGAGATATGAAGAGGAGCTGGAGATCAACGACTTCCCTCAGGTCAGCAACACACAGTGCAGAGCCCTGCTGAAATATTCTGCACATTTCTCTTCATTATGGGCTTTCATTTCACAAGAGTATGGGCTATCACTGAGTACTAAGTGACTGTAGTTATGTCCAGTCACATGCAACTTGCACAGGAGAAAGAAATAAGTGATGGAAATATAGATTTTATTTCACTTAATACATTTTGTTTAGTGCATAGTTCCACATTACTTCATCTTTAATCATTTGTGCGTCATTATTTGTTTTAAACTTCTAAGTTTCTTTAAAGCCCCTGAGAAGTTATCATAGTAATTTAACAAACCCCTGAAAATCTTGCCTTTGTTGATCTTAAGTGGTTTTATCTTGCTACTGTGAAATACTGGTGTGGATGATGGGTGTGTGTACCTGACCCGAGCCTGTTTTTAAACATTTGGGTTTGGATTGCTTGTGTTTGCTGGGCTGGACACAAAAAGACGGAATGCCGGCCGGGTTCAGTTCGGGCTGGGGTAGTTTTCCCTCTGACTAGGGCTCGGGTGGGTTTGGACACAAAAATTTGGGTGTAAGACAGCACATGTGCAGCACCACACCCAAATACACTCATTTAAATAAGCCTCATTTGTTTCATTAGTGCAGAGTAGAATTCAATTCAATTCAATTTTATTTATATAGCGCCAATTCATAATTTACATTATCTCAAGGCACTTTACATTTAAAGGTCAAGACCTTAAAACAATATTAACATAGAGAAACCCAACAGTTCCCACAATGAGCAAGCACAGGCGACTGTGGAGAGGAAAAACTCCCTCATTAACAGGGAGAAACCTCTGGCAGAACCAGGCTCAATGTGGGCGGTCATCAGAATGGGCTCAAGCTTTCAGCAAGAGAGGGAAATAAAACAGTTACAGCCTGAGACTTGTTGAAGAAGTGATTATTTAAGAAACTCTGCTTTGTGTTTTCATGCTGATTAAAAATAAAACAGCTAAAGATTTTAAATATGTTTTTATTAAAAACTCAGAGTAGTTGGTATCATCCACTGGAACAAATAAATAAATAAAAGTATTTAATATAATATTCCTTATTCTGTTCTTCTCCAGACGGCCAGGTGGAAGGTCACATCTAAAGAAGCTCTGCAGAGGATTGGTGAATACTCTGAAGCTGCCATCACCATCAGAGGAACCTATTTCCCTCCAGGCAAAGAGCCCAAGGAGGGAGAACGCAAGATCTATCTGGCTATTGAGAGTATGTGTTGGGAAAATAATATCTCACTCCTAATTTTATCCATCTCTTGAATATTAAGTGTTTTCCTGGTGTTAGATAAATGCACGTATACTGTATATTAATGTTATGTTTGTTTTCCAGGTGCTAATGAGCTGGCTGTGCAGAAAGCCAAAACAGAGATTACTCGGTTAATCAAGGAAGAACTCATCAGATTAGTAAGTATCTTTTGCTGCTTGAAATCAAAATCCAGTAGTGGACATCAGGTTGATATCATCTTAAATAGGAGCCTTTTCCTAGTGCTTAAATGTTTGAGTTTGTTCCCTGTATGTGTCATTGAAAATATGTTTCTTATCGTCTTTTCTTTTCCTTCTAGCAAAATTCCTACCAGCCGACGAGCAAAGGCCGATACAAAGTGTTGTAGAGGAGAAACCAAGGCCTGTTGGAATGTCCATTTCTCCACTGTCTCCTGTCATCTCTCTTGTCTCATCAGATTGGTTGAAGAATGTTTTATTCTATATTTTTAATAATGGCAAGTTTAGTGTATGTGTGTTTCTATTTTTCATCTGTTTCATCCTAAAGCTGTTTTCAGACCTGAACTCCAGAGTATGACATTTTCCGGAGGCTTTCTTGCTGTACAATCACATGGGCTCACCCGGACATTTTATTTGCGGGGCCATTTGGAATTTTTTTTAGATTTCAGGAGCAAATGACTCTGACGTTTGAGTTCTCACATACAGCCCCTGTGGAAAATGTCCGGACTTCAGTGCAGGTCTGAAGGCAGCTTTAGTTTCCAGTAATTTTTCATGAAAAAACAAATACCAAAATGTGATGCTGTTTTCACCTTCAGTGTCATCAAACCACCAGGATTCAACAACAAGCTAAATACAACATGTCTATAAATATTAGACAGATTTTTTTTGAATGTTAGTTTTTTTGTTCGGATTTGTTTGTAAAGGTCACATACCAGCCATTGTCCCCATGAAGAAACCCTCAGATGAAAGATATTTTTACTTTCTCTCTGAATAAAACCTGACGTTAATAAGGAAGTATACTTTTTAGTTTTTGTTTTATTTCCATTTCTCAATATTACCCACATTGACAAAACAATCAACAAACATATTTACTCCATACATCCAACAAACAAGCTCATTCTCAGTATTTTCATATTTGATCAAGTTTTTAAGGATATATTCAATCTAAATAAACAAATATACATCGTATATAATCATGTACCACATCTCTACTGAGTAATCCCACATTTTATCCTTCATCAGCAAAATTTAAGTCACAACATCCTTTACATTCATTCTTTGTCTCTGACAAAAAAAAAAACAAGAAACTCAAAACCAATCAAATCCAACCAACCTACAATCAAATTTGAATATAAAAGCCATTTTTCATGCACAGAATACTTTTCTCCATACATTTCCAAATTGTGTTGATTTGTTCTTTTCATGACTATTATCTATGTTTAAATAGTAACACATTTCTGTCTTTCACTACACTAATGTAAAGGGGGCTGTGGACTTCATATGTTTAAGTTTCAGATAGGAAGTAAACTTGATGTGTGCAGCTGTTGACGAGAGACTATCAGGGGCAGGTTAGGAAAAGCCAAAAACAAGGAAAAATCCCTTCGTTTAAAGTACATTTTGAGGGATGATATAAAAACAGACAACACAGTTTCAGGTCTGATTTCCTTACCTGAATGTGCACCTTAGTGAACCAGGTATTTCTGTGTATGGATGATGGACATATAATTAGTCTCTCAGTGTAAATTGTGACCCCTTTATAGCCCCTGATTTAGAAAACTGCTAGATCTGTCTCTGGATATTGTACATTCTTAATTTTTCCATAGGCTCCCATGTGTTTATTATTGTGGGCAGTGCAGCTGGACTATGTCTCAGCGTAGGAACAATAAAACATTTTTATAAAGCAGTGTTAGTTGGATTAGAGCAGTGTGTTGGATGCAGATGTTCAGTTCAGAGGATGTCAGAGTGAAAACAGCTGCTTCTGGAGGGGAAGGAGGAAAACCCGCTGTGCGCATGCGCAGACTGCGCTCCTCCGTCTTATTAATTTTTAATGGAAAATGGCTGCGTTTCTTATCCAAACCTCTGGAGCTGGGAAATAAAAAGCCCTTCGTCTTTGTGCACCGTCCCTTCTCTTCTTCTTCACCTTCTTCACACTGAGACCAGCCGGTTCCTTCACGTTGTGTGACCGACGTCCTGCGGAGAGAGGAGGAAGATTTCTGAGGGAAAATGGATCCGCTCACGCTTTGAGGGATGAAAGATCATTTTTCTCTTTAACCCTTTCTGCTCCCGGATCTGCGAACAACCGAGGTACAGTCACCTCAGTGCGAACACTATAAATACACGATCCATGGGTTTGTTAGTGTGTTCTTTCAAATAAAGCGTCAGTCAGGCCGGCAGCAGCCTTTATGGTCTAATGTTACACAGGAGCTGAAGTGACATGCAGGAGGTGTGTGTGTGTGTGTGTGTGTGTGTGTGTGTGTGTGTNTGTGTGTGTGTGTGTGTGTGTGTCGTCTGGACGCAAAATGCTGAATCCCTGTTCATCCTTTCTGTGAATGGGTGTTACTACAGACAGACTGTGTGTGTGTGTGTGTAGTAAAGTCCACACCTCCACCCTGCATCCTCAGAATCCTCAGCATCAACAGACTACTTTTTAGAAACGATTTATTCACTCACATTAGTAAACAGCTCTGGATTGTGTAACCTATATTTGTTTTTAGTGAAAACGTCTTTTGTGTGTTGACAGATTGTGGAATATCATCCTCCACTGTTTCCTTGTCTTCTGAATTCTTCTGTTTTTTACAATAATATTAATAATGAACTTTTATATGGCACCTTCCGTGTTTTGAAAGTTGCCATTTAAATTCAGTTTGTAAATAAACAAGAAGAATTGAAGGCAAACAACAGGAAGCAGTTAAAAGCAATTTGAAGATCACACAGCTTTAGAGCACCAGTACAAGAAGAACTATGGTACTCTGTAGAGCACATTGACTAATGCTGCCAAGACCAACAGCCCTGAAACTTAATCTAGCCCAACCAAACACACACTCATAGTTGTCAGTTCCCTAAACATGCTTGTTTTTTTTTCCATCAAGACCCATGAATGTTTCCCTGACAAAATGGTGAACAACGACAAACCGACGGGTGAAAACATAACCTCATTGGTGGAGGTAAAAACTAAAATAAATAAAACCTTGTAAAATGATTCAAATTGTCTGTAAGGTTATTAAAAGTAAATAAATTAATACAAGTAAAAAGTTGAAGGTGAATTCAGACCCATAGTTCTGAGAGAGCACACCTAAAAAAAAACTATAAAAAAGCCCAGACAAGTCTAAACTGTTCAAAACTGTCTAAATTCAAAAAGCTGAAATAAACCAAAGAATGTTGGTGTAATGGATAGATTTCAAAACTTGGCTTGGTAAACTGCCTGACACAATAGAGTGAAAGTAAATTCAGAGCAGGAGATTCAGGAAGAAATTTCCAGCAACGAAACAATACAGACTTTCTTCAGGCCAATGTGTTAAAAACTCTGGACACACTTAGGTCTCAAACTTGGGACTTAACATTTTTATTTTCCATGTCAAATGCTGCCGTCTGCATATTTTATTGCAGAATTGAGGATGTTTCGTCATCTGTTGACTTCAGTTCATTTAGATTTTTACCTGGCACTGTAGAACCCACACAACAGCACTTGGTCTACACAGAGATATTCCTTCTTTTGTCCTTGTGTGTGATAATAACACACTCACAGCTTGATTTCCTCCTCCCAGCAGACGATGATGCGCCAGGTGACCAGCAGCGACTTCTGCATGACCAGCCGGCCCTCGTGCCTCGCAGAGGACGGCCACCACCCCGCCTCCCACTTCGACCTGTGCGCCTCCCAGTCCAACAAGTTCTACCCTCCTCCCCCGTCGTCGTCCCTTCAGATGACCCTGACGCCCATGGTCTTACCCGCCCAGAGCCACAAGCCCATGGTGTGCCAGAGACAGGAAGTGCTCGGGGGTAAGATACCAGGCATTAAAAGCACTGATCAAACGCCAGATGACACCAAGAAGAAGAGCAAGGCTGCGGGGAAGACGGGCAGGCGCGGGAGGCCTTTGGGAACCACCAAGCTGGCCGGGTACAGAACCAGCACGGGTCGACCACTCGGCACCACCAGAGCTGCTGGTTTCAAGACGAGCCCCGGGAGACCACTGGGTACTACCAGAGCGGCGGGGTACAAGGTCAGCCCCGGTCGGCCCCCTGGCAGCATCAAGGGCTTCTCTCGCCTCAACAAACTGGCTTATGGTAGCACCTGCAGCGGAGCGGCTTTCCCCTATCCACTGCCACACAAAGAAATTCTCTGTGAACCTTCCTGCAAAGAGAAGACGGCAAACGAGTGAAGGCTCTGTTTCTGCTCCCCCCCCTCCATCAGTGGAATAAGAGATGCATGTGTACAGGTTGACAGATGTTGGTGGGTGTGACTGTAATCTTTTCCAGTCTGCTGTGACTGAGACGAGATGATTTTCTATGATTCGTGCTGGTGTCATCTGTGTGCCTGCCACTTGATATGTCACTGTTACTTTTACAGTGCTACTGCTGGAGCTCTATAAGCTGTGGAAGGTTTAACTACTCGACACTGTTTCTGTCATCATGGGGGAAAAGTGACTCCAGATGTTCATTGAGCAAGGTGCTTTTATCTTAGTAACGACTGTAGTGGTTATTCACTAGTTTAATTTACATTTTAACATCAACAGATTGTTGAAGCATCCATTTTAAAATGTTTATTACAAGTGTGTGAACTTTCCTGGGATGTTTACAGCACAAAACAAGGACTAATTGACTTTCTGTTATAGTCATACTACAGTTTAAATATCATATCAGCTTATGATGGACAGTCCAACAAACAATAGGAAAGAATTAAGGAGAGGGACGAGTATGTTGTTTTTACAGATGGAAGGTTTGATGGAAATCTGGTCTTTTGTGTCACATTTGTAAAATCAAATCAAATATTTAATCTATGTCAGTTAAATCTTACAGAGGAACAGTTTGGGGTGAAGTGTGTTGCTCAATGGCACTGCAATAGATAATCAGGCACCTAAAACTGAAATAGCTAATACAACCTTTTCCACTCAACCAAACAAATACTCCTGCTAATAAACTCACTCATCACTGTTCACTCTCTAAAGGTCAAGCCACTAAACGTTACTTGCATGCAAATGTTTTTAAAGCAGCTGAAAGTCACAGATCATTTGATCCAACGTTTTCACTCAGAAGTATCAAACTAAAAATGCAGAGACTCACTTTACCTCCTGCTTTTAAATCCAACCTGCTACAGAGTGGACACTGTGCCCTGCGGTGGCCTCATCGGCTCATTAGTCCCCCTGGAAAAGTTTTGGTGTAATTGTGAATGAACAGTGTTGATATTTTCTGCTTGTCACTTCACAATAGTAAAAAATATGTAGTATTTCATCTTTGGTGACCAGACAGTTCGAAGCTCAGACTCACTGGTGGACTCACAGTCGAAATGAGAATTTGTCAGTGGACTCTCGGTTGAACTGTTCTATCTCGAGTGCCCTTGTCTCCTTACCAAGGGCTGGGTGCTGCTACACAAACCAAAATTACACATTTTTATAACAAAACTCCATTTTTCTTACCGGGACTTTTTCAAAAGCATCTGTGTCGGGTTTTTGTTTCATCTCAAAGTAGCAAAACAAATACTTTGCTCAATTCAATACACCAAAAAATATCATGTCATATGTTCTCAGTGAGAAAGTAATCAAGACTAAAAGTCTAAACCTATATTCAGTCTCAACTGTCAAAACCTGATGATTTTTGTTGCTACAGAAACATTTTGTTTGGTTTTTACTGTTGAAATTGTATGTTTAGCCTTATTTTTGTCCTAAAATGACAAAATAACATTTCAAAAACATTTATTTTGTGGTTGTCATCAAATCTGACTAAATTGTGTGTTCTTTGTCTTGTAAAGTCTGAACTTACACAACAAAAACCAATATAATCAGGTCAGCTTTGCCCTTTTGTGTCTTTTAATGCAGACTGCTTTACATTTACTGGATGCTTTGCAAAGTCGTCTTGTCGGGAAAGTCGTCACCCAAAGATTTAAACCTAGTGTGCTACATCAAAACCATCAGTTGCATCATTTACTCTAAACAAGGATTAAAAAACTTAATTAAGCAGCAACATTAAAATACAAATAAAGATTTTAATTACCGTGAACAAATGACACCATCGCTATGAAAGCTCTCTGACATTACTGGTTTATATTCTGTGCTTTAACAAGTTGAGCTGCCAGTTTAAATTCCCTGGGATATCTGCATACAGGGGGCGCTGTTCCTCCAGAACGAGCCCAAACTCATAATTATCCAAAATGAAAAGGAAAACAATAATCAAAGGTTTAAGAATTTGGCAAGTGTGTGTTGACGTTTTTGTGTCTACATTACTTTTTTGCTTTAACCAGTCGCTTGCAAAATAATTGTATCAATTATTTTAATCAATCTGTCATTTAAAAAAAAAGATATAATTTAAAATAGTTATTTAAGATATAAAGTACATAATCATAACATTGTAGAGCACTTGAATCGGAAACGGATGTTTTTCTGAAATGTTGTAACATGAAAATATGTAGTTGAAACTACCTGATGGCCGAAATGAGGAAATTGAATTGTTTTATTGGTTTATTGGTCACATTTTTCACAGCATGCTCATTGCGTCGTAAATACAGTCAGTCACATGTAGTCAAATATAATTTTGATCTAAACTATTTACCACTGTAGGATTTTGTTCAGGAGTTTGATCTTAAAATTTGCCTGAAGAACATGCATTGGTATAATTCAGATGTTGGGAATTCAGATCCAGAGTGTGAAGGCATTTATTTAATTTGGTGCAATAATCTGTCGTATGTATATTGTACTGTGTAAACTTTGATACTACCACTTTATATTATTGTTGTATTTTGATACTGTTGTACAAGGCCTTTTATCACTTGTTAAGTTGACGTGTGTTTGTTTTAACAGGTTACTGACACGTTACATACAAACACTCTTTGCACCCTCTACCAAAGAATATGATGTTATCTAACTTTATTTGATCAAAGAAAATACTCCAATGTCTCACAAAGTAACCTGAGCATGAAAACTTCTGTATAAAATGTAAATGAAAACGCACAGGCCCACGAAAGATATTATGATTGTTTGGAATAATGCAAAAAGCTTTGAGTAATTACTGCGTCTAAAGCCTCGAAACACGCAGCTGGAATTGTTTTATGGACAGTCGATTGAAGGGATTGTAAATTTCAACACATTGACAATATAATTTTTCTTTTCATAGATTTCAGATGTAGCCACGTGTTTAATGTGTAACTGATCATTTTTTGTTGAGGTTCTGGCTGACGTGTTGCCTATTCCTGAGGTTTGTGTCTTCTTTTACAGTTTTAGTTTTAAATTCATTTGTTTTATATTTTTTAGATTCACACATTAAGATGCCTTTTTCACAGCAGATATTTTGACACAGATGTAAAAGTACATGCAGGCTATAGATAATAAAGTTAATGATGGTTTAGTTCTATTTGGCTGCTTGCTATTGTGCATGCTGGCTCACTGGCCTCCTGACACTTCAGTAGATCATCAATGTTGTTTGAAACACTTTGAGACCTGTCTGCTGTGAAAAAGGGCTTTTGTCTGTTTCAGTCATCTCCCTCTGTTGTAATAGCTCCTGAAACCTAATGGGCATTTCTTACTGAAAAGCTGAAACATGTTTTACTGTTTGTCTTTATTCTTGGCGAACTGGGTGTCTACCATAGACTGTATCCACTGTTGCTTCAGCAGTTCATCTCTATTGACCTTCTGACACTGTGTTTCTTTGCTGGAGGCTGCTCCACAGCTTCCCGCAAAGATTCATAAAGGTCTTGCACTTATTTATAATGAGTCAAAAATGTAAACAAACATTTATTTACATAAATAAATAACATAAAAATTTGCAAGCTGTACCATCCTCATCTTCAGACTGACCAATATGATGTTCCATGGAGATTGTAACCTTGTCCTCTGTCCTTGCATCAGATTTGTTCAGTGATTCAGTGAATCAAAGTGGCTTTTGAATCATGTTTTCATTATCTAGAACAGAACATCACTCTAGAACAGAAAACATGTTTTGCTCTATGAGACTCACGGGGATATCTTCTTGTTGTTGAATTCTTATGAAATGTTTGTTGTAACTCAGGTAATATAAGGTTTTTATTCTACGATGTTTATTTTTCAGCTCAGTTGTGGTTGATATTCATTTAGTTGAGAAAATTGATTGAAAAAAAACATGAACATGTTTCAGCTTCAGCTCGATGAAATAAAAACGTATCTGTGATTACATATTATCACAGACATGTGAGGTGTTCATAGACTGAATGATAAGAATCTAAGACCAGGAGACGATGACAGTGTAATGACTGATGTATTTGCCAGCATGTCAGGTGTAACCTTGAAGCACTCTCAAGGTCTTAATCTGTTTCACTGCTAAGTTTGTATATAAAATAATTAGTTAAATGTCTGGACAAGAATTTTATGTAGCTAAAAATATTTGAATCCCTTTTTTGTTATTTTGTTCATTTGGTGGAAGGCACTGACATTTTGGACCTGGACCCTGATTGAAAGATGATTATTGAAGGTGGATTACTGAAAAACAGACTCTGTAAAGTGGGTAATTTATCGACCTTCATTGGTAGCTGTAATATTTCCAGTTAAATCGGAACTTTCTCATTTTGAGTGAATATTATTTCTCTCACCACCTTCAGCGTGTAATCCTGACCTGGTCCCTTGTCTGTAGATGACATTTGGAGTTTTTTTTGGGAGAAGAAGTGAAGCTCAGTTATTCCAAACGTGTGACTGGAGAGGCCTGTGAAGCTTTGTATCATTCCTACTTTATTCCTGCATGATTATTGTGGAATGTTCAAAAGTTGTTTAATAAATCTGAAAGTAAAAAAGAATCTGTTGAAAACTTTTCTTGAATTGTTGTCCTCAGTTAAACATTTCGAAAACTTGTTGTTTGTTAAAACAACAAATAACTTCCAGGTTAATTAATTTCCCCCACCAGTAGTCTCCATTATTCTCCAAGCACCTCACATTCAAATATAATCTTATCTGGTCAATAATTTTTTATTATGTAAGAATATTTCCATGGATGCAATATAAGAGGTGAAAGATAGAAACATTTGAAAAAATAAATACAAACATTCTAAAATATAGATTTAGTATAAAAAGTATCTAAAAGATAAATAATAAAACAAAACTGAATAAAAAAATCTTAACAACATAAACCAGAAATCTTGTTCACATGTCAATGAACTATTGAAGGGTAAAATAACTTCCGGTCTACCCGGAAGTGGGTTGTTTATTTTGTTCCGGACTGCTACAGCACATCACATTGGTTCCTACATCCTGCACAGCATGATCGCACAACATGTCGCTCTAACCGCTTATATTTGAGTGTAGCTGGACACAGTTTGAAGCCATGACTGGGGTTTGGAACAACCTTTACATTTCGTGCGTTTTATTATTTATTAGTTGTCATTCTGGTGTTTTAAAGTGTTCGTCAGTGACAGCACAAGGTAAGAGACAGCCGCCTGTTAGCTACACAGAGCTAGCATAACACTGTTTATAATCGGACATGATAACTACAGTTTATGTCAAGTAGTATGTGGAATATAATGTTTAAACATTTTACCATCTTCATTACCCCAAATTAGTTGAGTTTAAAATGTGGTACGCTGCTGATCAAGCTAATTATCGTAATGAATATATTAAGGAAAAGCTAGTGATGCACCCACAACAAGTAACACAACTAAACCAGAGCATATGTGTAAGAAGAGCTATAACTTAGTTCAGGAAATTTGAGCTAGACCATCTAAACTGAACACCAGCTGAAAAGTTTTATTTATCAGCTCTATCAAATGTGTTGGTAATTTTTAAACTGAACTATTCAGTTCACAACAAATACTGAAAAGTGAAGCTTTCCTAAAGTTAACAATCATGCAGGGCTTTTATTGTAGACTGCATTCATTTCACAGCTAACACAATTATATGATTATTCATTTACTGATGGACTGACAATCAATCCACCACGATTTTGAGAGTCAATTATTATTATGTGCTTGGTTCTTTGGTTGTTGTTATTCCACCACTTGAGTGCAGATTCTTGGGAAAGCAAAATATGTCTCCTTCCTGAACCTAACTTCATCCATAACCCCATTTTATAACACTTAACTTGATCAGTAGAGTCAATACTCATCTCTGCCTGTTCCTGAGCCTCCAGTGTGAGGAGTGATGATCAAACAAACATGAAATTTGAAGGATCTACTTTCATTATCCAAATAACTAATTTATTAAATGAGTTGTAACCTGCATATCAAAGACTAAATTGATATTTATTTTTTACTTCTACTTGAGTCAGATAAGGTATTGGCCTTGAATTAGGCTGGGACATTTTAGGTCACTCAGCAATTGAGAGAGTATTATATGGCAGAGAAATAACGACTGTTATTTGTAGTAAGATTATCTTCACAGATATTGCCAAGAAGCTTATATTTATCTGTGTTGCTTGTATCAAATATAATTCACACGAAGAACAGCAAAGAAAGAAAAGTCTTATGTACTAACTTATTTATCATAATGTTATTTTTCAGATGTTGATGAGTCGCTTGAGCTCACGCTGTCAGAGGGGGCAGTTTCTGACTTGGAGAACAGCCCCAAGTTTGTTGAAGCAGAAGACCTGGAAACTCTGCCGAAGAGGCAGTTCAAGACAGCTGAGATTGCAGATGCTGTGATGGGCACTGAAGCCCCCATTGATCCATCTGACATCGAGTCCCTTTTCCCAAAAAATGTGAAAGACTTCCAGTCAGGTTTCTCCCCACCTTGTGACGAGCTCAATGCCCAGTGCGCTTCGTCTGCTGTGGCTGATAAAGGAGCGTCGCTGGAGGAGACGAGCACTGAACCATCTCAGCAGGTTGGTGTCTTGAAGAGGAGGAGGGGAAGAGATGTGATTATAAGTTGTTGCAAATTGCAAAAGAAATGTCTGGTGGGAGTAGGCACCTTCTCCAAAAGGCTGGTGATAAGCACATTTTTGTTTTCAGTATTTTGTTTCTGATCAAGAGACTTATGAGACACAGCAAAATACAAAAAATAGTTCTTAGAATGAGTGCAAAAGAGACAGGGGGCCTTACAGCTTTGTTCTGGTTTCAATTTTATATTTTCATGACATTCAAAGCACAGCCTGAGGGCCTCTGGTAAAATACAATATGCATAGTGAAGTGAGTAGTTCCCAGAATTTGACTTTTCCTTGGTTGTTTCCCTACAGGTCACTCTTGACATAGTGCACGCAGGTGTCGCAACCTCCGAGGAGCAGAACACCACAGAAACTGCCAAGACATACAAAGTGAATTGTGATAAGAGGAACTTCACAGGAACAGAC